AAAAAAAAAAACCTTGATAAATAAGTGTTCCAAAATCGGCTATATATAATTATTCACATAATCTTTGCCTACAAAACCACTATTAACGTAATTAAAAAAAAAAACCAAGAATTTACTAAAACAAACACAAACCGAAAAGCGAGTTATATGAAAATTATTCAATTAATGATTTATTTTTTATTTAGATCATTTTATATTATTTCCACTATAGTAGGTAATTAATGTTTTGAGCAAAAAATGCTCATAAAAATGTTTGGGTATGAAAAAAACATATGTTATTAAAAACCAATCTCAGAGGAGATGAACCAGAGTCTGCTAAAGCCAGTCACTGAGGATGAAGTGCAATCTGCCTTATTTTCCTTGCACCCAGAGAAATCCCTAGGAGAAGATGGCATGAATGCCTTATTCTATCAGCACTTCTGGCAACTGATCAAAGCAGATGTTGTTGCTGCAATTCTCAGCTTTTTCCAATCAGGGATGCTTCTGAGATATTGGAACCACACAATTCTTTCCTTGATTCCCAAAGTGGCACAACCAGTAAACATGAACCAATTCAGGCCAATAAGTTTGTGCAGTGTCATTTACAAGAGTCTCTCAAAAGTTCTGGCACAGAGATTGATGATATGCTTAAATGACTGCATCAGCCCATATCAGTCTGCCTTTGTCAAGGGTAGACAGCTCATGGATAACATCATCATTGCTCAAGAGGCCTTTCACTACCTCAACAGACACTCCTCTGGGCAGAACTACTTCATGGCACTCAAGTTAGATCTCATGAAAGCTTTTGACAGGGTTGAGTGGAAATGCATTCATAGAATCATGGTTCATATGGGATTCCACTCAAATTTTGTAAAGCTGATAATGGTTTGTGTTTCATCTACTTCAATCTCCTTCAAAGTTAATGGCAAGGTTAGTGGTTACATCACACCCTCTAGAGGAATCAGACAGGGGGACCCACTGTCCCCCTATTTATTCATAATTGTAGCTGAGCTGCTTTCTGCCATGATCTCTCACTCTCAACTAGAAGGCAGAATTACTGGACTCAAATTATCAAGGAATGGTAATGCTATTTCACACCTCCTATTTGCAGATGACTCCTTGCTATTCTGCAAAGCTGGAGTGGACCATGCTCTTCATCTTTTGTCCCTTCTAGAGAAATACAGACTCTTCTCGGGTCAGATGGTTAATCTTCAAAAATCTGGCATCTTCTTTAGCAGGAACACTCCTCAAACCCTGAAGGACAGAATTTGTAATGTGTTGAATGGAATAGTTCCCCACAGATCCACCAGGTACCTTGGCTTGCCTTTGGGAATTGGCAGGTCCAAGAAGGAAGTTTTTTACTACATCTTAGAAGCTATCAGAAGCAAAATGCAAGGTTGGAAAACTAAGCTACTCTCAACAGCAGGCAAAGAAGTGTTAGTTAAATTTGTCCTTCAAGCGTTGCCTGTTTTCTCAATGACCTGCTTTAAGCTTCCTGTCTCAATCTGCAAAGAAATTTCCATGTTATGTGCTAAATTCTGGTGGAAGACTGGGGAAAACTCTGATTCTGGTACTCACTGGAGGAAATGGGACAAGATCACTCTTCCAAAACTCTTGGGAGGCTTGGGCTTTCATGACATCAGCCTATTCAATGAGGCTCTCATCTGTAAACAACTTTGGAGAGTTGCAACTAACCCGGAGCTGCTTGTTAGTAGAATCTTAAAGGACAGATACTTTCCAAATGATACAATTCTAAGTGTTGAGAAGACACAAAAAAGTTCATGGCTATGGAATAGTTGGTTTTCTGTGCTCCCTCTTTTTTTTAAGTGTTTGAAAATTGAAGTAAGGACTGGCCTTTCTACTAGAATTGATGACCCTAACTTGGTGCCTGATCTAAAAAAACCTTTCCCTGCCCTCATGGAATTAGCAAAGGGACACCTTGTGTGGGTTAAAGATCTGATGGCTAGCAATGGGCTGGAGTGGAATGATTGGTTGATAGAGCAGGTGTTTGACACTGAGGACAGTGCAGCAATTTTAAAAATCAAATCTTTAAATCCTGCTAGACCAGACAGATGGCACTGGGGTCCTGACACTAAAGGACAATTCTCAGTCTCAAGTACTTATAGAGTCCTTGCTGCACAAAAACTGCTAGAGTTAGACATCCCTGAATCAAGCTCAAACTCTATGCCTCCTCATCAAATTTTTCAAAGGTGCTGGCAATTGAAGATTCTTGGCAAGATTAGGCATTTCTTATGGAAATGTATTTCTGGTACTCTTCCCACTGCAGCAAATCTTAGGAAGAGAGGAGTGGACATCAGCCCCATCTGTACAATTTGTGGAGAGCACCCTGATACAACAGAGCATCTATTATTTCTGTGTTCTAGAGCTAAAAGAATTTGGGACTCTTCCCCTGTGTAATGGGATGGCCTTCGCCAGTACACATCCAACTTCAAACACTGGTGGCAGCAGGTTAGTAAGATTAAAAAATCTGAGGTGGTGCAAGCAAGGATCCAATTGTCTACCTACTTGTTATGGTGACTTTAGAAATCACGCAATTTGTGGATATTCAAGAACTCCCTTATGCCAGAGCACATTGTAATTGCAGCTGCCCATAAAGATTGGATGGATTATTCTGAAGCTCCAATCTCCAATGTTGGCTCTTCTTTTTAGTCCTTGGTAGTTTTCTTAGATTTTGTTCTTTGTTCTTTGTTTTGCTTTTGGAAGATATGGTACTAGCTAGGCTTTGGCAGTGGATAGTGGCATATCTTGTTTGTTCTTTGTTTTTCTTTGGTTGAGGCTCTAAGTACTCTGCGTAGTACTTCTCAGTTTTTCTTTCTCGAGTAGGATTTTGCCTCTTGTAGTTGAACTGTGTTCCCGATTTTATTTATAAGATCTCTATCGTTCTGGCCAAAAAAAAGAAATATTATTAGTTTGATTATTGGGCACACTACAATAAAATGATAAAATTCCAATAGAAATATATTCCAAAAGAAATTATTCCAACGGATATTTCAATACTATTATTTCCGTTGGAATGAATTTTTCATTGGAATTTCCGTTGGATTTTGACGATTCCAACGCTAGATTTGTCAACCGGGTGGAAATAAAAATTCCAACAGAATTTTCATATTCCAACGGTAAAAAAATCATTGGAAATATAACAATTGAAATCATCAAATTTCTAAGATTGACACTCACTCTTGTTTATCATCATGACAATATAAATGAATATTTATCTAAAAAAGTTAATCTTTGAAATGTAGTGATCGTGTGTTAATTTTTAATTTCGTGATTGATGGACTCTTTTATTAATTAGTTGGTTTGAATCAATATATAACAAAATTTGTTACCATTAGAGTTTTTAAATTAATTCGTGTAAATGCATAAATAAATAGAGACCTAAACTATGAAAATTTTTTCATCTTTTGAAATCAAATAAATGACAAACACTATCTTTTAAAATAAATAATGAGAATGATTATAACATTGTATTATCAAAACCGATAAGGTATATAAAATTCGTTTTCCTTTTCAAATCGATAATGAAGAAGAAAGTCTAATTGGTAAAAAGATGATATATACAAATCATGATTTTAGATATCTGATATATACAAATCTTAACATGCGGTTTCAAACAATGTAATAATATAATAATAGGCTTAATGAATTATGATTCAAATTCATGCAAAGAAAATTTTGAACAGATTTCTAAAATCATGATATATACAAATCATGATTTTTCTTGTAGATTTATTCGGATTTTCAAATTGTTTGGAAATCACAAGTTCTAAAATCATGATTTACTCATATTTACATTTGGATTTCCAAATTGTTTGGAAAAATAGGAGATTTATTCGGATTTTGATTCCTTATTGTTTACCAATATAAAAGTATTTAATGTTATTAATAAAAAAAAAAAACAAAATAATTTGATTTACTATTTTTAGGAGATAATTAATGAAAGTGGCGGGAAATTGTTTCTAAATTTGATTTATGTCAATCCTTATTATATAGGATTAACATATATGTTAACATATAAGTAACATATATGTTACTTTCACGTAAATACTAATATATATATAAGTTATTTCTAACAATTATTAGAAATATGATTGATTCTTAAAAAGAAATTTTAATTGACAATTATTAATTAAATGTTTTATATTGTATTTTAAAAAATTTTAAAAATATGTATGGTAAGTGTATTTCATAAATTAAGTGTATTAAGTATGGTAAGTGTATTTCTTAGAATTATTTTTATTTTGATTCCATATTTTTTATTGTATTCCTAAAAAAATTGGATAAAAAAGGTATGTTAATAAATAGAGATTTTGTTAATTTACTATTTTTAGGCAATAATTAATGAAATTGGCGGGAAAATATTTCTAAACATGAATTATGTTAATCCTTATTATATATTAATAGATAAGTTTGGCATTTACCTGAAATAGCAACTAAAATCCCGCCGAAAAATTTAAAACTTACTAACCTTGGTAATTTTTTTTCAATATTTTTGAAAATCCCGCTATTAAATCATTAAGTTCAAATTTTAGAATACAGAATAAAATTTTAAGATTTGTTGAATAAATATACTCTGTTACCTGCCAAATGCTCTGGAATAAAATTGGGTAACATTCTAGGCTACCACGAATAAATTGCATAAAATCTTATGAATTGTTTAGGAAGATTTCCTATTCCCTTAAAAATATACTAGTACGAATCTCGTGCGATGCACGGGTAAGAAATATTTATTAGTATTTATAAATAAAAAAATATGCATTAAATAATATGTTATAAATTAAGAATATTGAATCAATATGTAATACAGTTTACTTATATTAATTTTTAAAAATATTATACGAAATTTGAATTGTACAAAATTACATAAAATATGTATATTTAAAATTAGTACACAACCCATACATGCATGTAACTATTAATAAATTATATTATATTCAATTCAAAATAATATTATTTTAAAAAATTTTATTCAAAATTTCGATTTGACTACAATGTGATTCAGTAAAATAAATATTTTGGTAAAATTTTATCATATATTTAAAAATCTATATGAATAATATGTGTAATTATAAAACTTATATTGAACTAAAATGAATTAATTTTCGTATGACCTGTCCAAATCAAAAAATTTAAGTAGTTGAATAATTTATTAAACTATAAATAATTGAATAATTCATTTGCATCCAAGTTAATATTAGCATAAGTTATGA